TTAAAAAGTCAACATCAACTTAAAAAATTTTAATTGTTGATTATTTAAGTTTGTTTTTAGTGAAGAGTTTTCATTTATGGAGTCTGATGGTTGTTCATCCATAAATAAACATTTTTGTTTTTATAGTGGTTGCCATAAATATTATATTACTCAAATTATAAAATTTACATTTCTTAATTTTGTTGCAGAAATATTTATATCACTATTATATACCCCTTAAAAAGCCTATTTGATGAGTTTATAAAGGTTATCGTTGCCAGCGTTTAGTAACACTATAAATCCAAGTTTTATAACTTGAGGTAACAGAAATATTTTGAAAACCACTATATAACTTCTTAAAGAACTGTTATCAATTGTTTTCCTTGTTTTTTTTTCTCTTTCTCTCAAGCACATTAAGACTATATATCTCTTCGTATGCTATCATTCTAAATGTCTTCTTATAGATTAACTTGTTAAAATCATGTAAAGTATGGCGAAATATAAATAGTATATAATTTATAGTAATTTTATATAACTTAAGGATTCGTTAAGTTTTATAATAGTAACTATTTTACTTAAAGTGTTATTACATAATTTTGAAACTCTTATACGTAACTGTAGTTACTACAAATGATGTTATAAAACTTTTAATAGGATAGTTTTATAGTAGTATTTTACCTAAAGTGTTAATACATAATTATAAAACATATTTTTTATTTAGCACATGAATAATTTTTTACTTAAATATATACCTACTTAAAGTTTTATAAAACCGCAAACTTTATAAAACCCTTTTAAAAACTTATATAAACTTACTGGTTTACTATAGGATATATAAAAAGTGTGTGGCTAATTAACTAGAGGTATAACTAGAGGTTACAGTAACATTGTAAAACTCGTAAACTAAGTGGCGATTTATATAAAACTATATAACCTGTATATAACTTATCGTTACCATAAGTAGTACAAATTGTTTATTGGGGTAGGGAGGAAATTATTATTATTATTATTATTATTAGCGCTGAAAATCTCTTTAAAAATTTAATATCATCAAAAGCAGCATTAAATCTAAATTAAAATTTTATAAATCCGAAAACAAAATGGAGATAATAAAATATTGAAAGCAGCCAGTTATCGATTATGGCCGTCACAGTCTTGCAGACGTTACCTTAGAAAGAAGGAAAAACGAATTTAATTCATGCTGAATCACTCAATAAGGATAAGTGAACAGGGAAACTAAAGGAACTTTCCGTGCCTTTTCATTATCCTAATTGAATACGATAAAATATCATTTAATCAAATTTTATCGTCATAATTTTCTTGAAAAGTTTTGAGGGTGCTTTTAATGATTAATTAGTTACGAAGAAACATGCAGGTGATTCGTAGATGCCCAAATTAATAATGCTTTTCATCTTGATTTTGATTCCTTTAAAAACACCACTTTTAGATTGTTATTTTAATATTTTTAGTTACTCAATAACCTTGATGTTAACTATATTTTATAAATAATTACTTCGTTGTTAAAATTCATAAATCAATATTGGCATTTATAATTTATTTATTAATTATTTATACTACGTTATATTCCATAATTATAGAGTATTTTTATTTTCTTACTATAGGTTATACTGTCTATAATTTAAACAAAGAAACACAAGTAAAATATCTATAAAATATTTTTTTATTTGAAAAGTTTATATGAACATTGTACTGATCTTTTAATTAAAGTGCCCATAAAACATTTTCTGCACTTTTACTTTGAAAAACTGTCGTTAGTCCATTTTCAAGGGATACATTTCGATTTACACATACAAATTTGACATTTTCTATATTGATACAAACCAAAATGGTGTTAATATGGTTCGTTTGTTCCAGTAAATTCAAATACTAAAATAGTGTAAATTTAACTTTCACACAGTATTAAAATAAATTTAAATAAGTAAATTGAACTCATTTTTAGTGTTAAATATTACGTGTTTTTGGTCAAATTAAATCATACTACACAGAAAAAAAAAAAGAAAACAGAAAGTTCCTTGAGTCATTACTAGTGGTATTATTCCAGAAAATTGAACCTTCAACTCGCTAGAGATAGTTTTTAGTGCGTTCCACCAACTTAAAATACGTATAATAAGTATTGACAGCTGTTTCCACCAATTTAAGGTCTCTTTAGTATAGAACAACTTGTAGTGTCACACCAAAGCAAAGGACTACCTGAGCTTATATACTCTTCATGTAAGTCAACAGAGGCGAGATTTAAGAACATCACGTGATCCACACCGCCTTTGCCGCGATCGGTACACACTATGCAACCAGGAATCCACGGCAAATTGTTTTAATCGTTTTAACAGAGTGCTTTAGGTTGAAGTAACTCTTATTTTCCAAACAACATATTTAGTAAACTGAACAATACAGCGGGTTGGTTTCACTAAAGTTTTCTGGGTTAATTTAACCAATTAAAAAAAATAAAATAAGTATCTGGTTTAGTACCATCAAACTAATCTTTGTTTATAATATATTATTATATATTATTAACCTTCCCACAGTTGATTTAAATAAATACTTATGGGTCAACTAAATTAATATATTAACTATTCCTTTTTTTCTGTGTAGGTGCACTTCTCAAATATTTTTAGATAAACACCGTTTTGGTGATTGATGCATATAACATTTTCAATCATAATTCATGGTGTTTGTATTAACACCACTTGGTGTTGGATTTAGACACCATTTTAAGATTACTCTTTACACCACAGATATTTTAAACATTGTAACTGTTTTAAATTTTAGATAAACCCTTTGGTGTTTAACATTCGCAACACGATTTATAACCCGATTATAATTAACTATACTGTTTATAAACTGTTTTTTAGTCATAACATGGTCAACGCAGACAGACTGTCTTGTCTATTAGTATTACGTTTCTATATTTCTCTTTCGATGTGTTGAATTTACCGGTCAATAAATTTTAAAATGATATTTTAGCCTTTGGCTCCTTAAACTAAGTTTTTGTTTAAAAATGTTTTTAAAATATTACCTACTTTAACAATTTCCCCCAAAAATTAGTGACAGTTTAATTCCATATATCTAAATATCAAAAAGTATTAAAAACAATTTTTTTAGAAAGATGTTGATTTATGTCGAATGTTCATGAATTTAAAATTTTATATTCTCATTTCATAAAATAATTTTTGGACATTCTTTGTGTAGTATAAATTAACAATTTTCCAATATCAACCGTGGTATGGTCTATGTATGGTATACATTAAAAATCAGTTTAATTAAATTGCTTTGTAGTTCATCTAAACCGCTTTGTACCTGCCATACGCACACTTCTCTCAGCCGAGTCATAATTTAAAAATATCGGGTTTATATTCCGTTTGCCTATTTTCGCCATCAATACGTCAAAGATGTAATTTTATCCGGACGAAACAAAGCCCATCTCTCAGCCGTCAGCCTTCGAATGCACGTCCCCTTTCATAAGATATATCCATATAGGAAATCGAAAACGCGTTAAGTGTAAGAGATAATGCGTTATATGAATAATAGCTTGGGTCATTTTAAAGATATCACGTACTTATTCTTAGATGTGCAAGTACGAATTGGTATTCACCACTTATCGAGTGTCTACACTGCTATAAAAATCAAAGTTTGTTTTTGTAAAATTTTAACAAAATTTTTTGTAGAAAACCAGTGTTTTTAATTATTTTAACAAATAAATTTTACCGAAAGTTTTGTTAAGGTATTATGCAATTTTGTGAGCATTTTGTTTATTTCAAAGGTTCAAAATTTTGTTAATGTTTAACAAATTATTTCGTTGAGATATAATTCAACAAGAAGTGCTTCTCCACACAAAAATTTTGTAAGGATAGAATTAAGTAAATATAAACTGAAAACATAAAATAAACATAAATTACAAACTAAAGTAAATAGTAAGCTGATCAATAATGTAGCACAGTATGAACATAGAAACACTTTTTATCCTCATTTGATCACCAGGCCATAATTATTGATTTATCCCAGTCCCTGAACAATTTTGCAAATACCTACCTACCTATTCGAAAAAATAATATTCAATAATTACTCACCAGAAATGTGGTACTAACCTTACAATGTTACACTTCCTAACACCAACTAAAACTGCAAACTGATGATGCAGATTGCAGTTGAGCGACCGGCCGGCGTCTTATTTCAATCGGGAAATCATTTCATTGGTTACCTTAGGTGGTGTGATGCTTCACTCCCGAACAAATTCTCCAATATTGTAAAATTTATGTTCTAATTCAAAGTTATACTATATTTATACGAATTATTTTAAAAATTGTACAACTGAGTAACATTTATTTTTAAAATATTTTTAACAACAGATTTCAACTCTTTTCTTGACAATATTGTGCAAATGGATAAATATAAAATCTTACTGTTTCCAACAAATTATAGAAAATTGACTTGAAGAAACTAATTAGAAAAACCAATCTAACTATCTTGGATAACGTAGCACTATTTATTCAATTAGTTAACAGATTCCAGTTGGTTGTGGACCTGGATTAACATCAAATCTGGTTAATATTTTTTGACCGTGTAACAGAGTGAAATTCAGACGTGTGTACGTAATAATTTTTTGTCCTTTGGGGACAGGTTCGTGGTCCCTTCCATTAGGATCATGATTTAGTAACGATCGAGATCATTTGTAAGATGTTTGGGGGAAGATTTTGTAATAGAAAAGATAATTGAGATAAGGATGTCCAATAGCTGAATTCATAGCATTCCTAGGAAGTGTTTCAGGGAGAAAAGAAAACTGTAACCATCGATCACAGAACACTAACACGAACATTAAACAATGTCAATGACAGTGTCAGTGTACCATTTAAAACCATACTATTTCCAATAAAACATCACGGGTTACTTTGACAACAGCAAAAGATAGTTTTGTTACATCAATGAGTACTGTCAGGAACTGCAGTGGTTAATGTTTTATTTTCTCCATAGTAATAACACATGAAACAGAAGCACATAAATAAAAAATGTCTCTTCAAACCAATTATAATCCTTTTAGGACCGACCGACCAGCCCCCGAAAAAACGCAGGCATGTAAACTTATTTACGAACGCAAGACCAGGACCGACCCCCATTGGGGCGATCACTTGTCGCTGACACGGGCAATATGTCAATTATCGCCTTTCGGGCAATTACTTGTGGTTGCGGCACGAGAGACGGAATGAGTGGGAGCCCGCCGTCCCTTAACCACCTCACCCCAGCCGACATGCAGCTACAGGGATGCTTTTTTGTGTGTAGAGTCGTCGGAGGGTAAGAGCACGAACTGTCAAAGAGATCCTATAGGATTGTATACAAAGTTTTGCCAGGTTACACGCTTAATACCACTTCCTCCGAATAGATTGAGCTGAAATTGCACACACCTTTGGTGCTGCACCGTGGTTAGAATACAATCTGGTATCCATCTTATCTATCTGATAACGCAGACAAACATGGGATAAGTACCTCCTTTAGATACCCAGTCAGCATCCAATTCAGAAAGAGTCTTTTAAACAACTTCGTGTAGAAGTTCTAACATGACGTCTTAAACAGCTCCTTTTTATGAGCTCAGAATTCTGAGCTGTTAATGAACCCATAAATAAGAAGTCAATTTTTGTACGTACAAATGAAGATCTTTTCTTGACCTCTTTTTGAACAATTTATTTTGAGCTTACAGAGTATTCTTTTTTCTTACTTTCAATTGAAATCATACTATTAGGTAACTCTTTTAGAAGTCAACATGGAGACGTCACATTTATGACATTTTAATGCGATTACTTTCTTCCCACCGCTGTAACTGCTTGTGTTTGATATAAGAAGCGGCAAAGTAGAATTTAGAGCGTGCTCCATACCAAACGGTCTTAGACGTAGGTAAACGGCTACCCGATACTGACGAGCTCCAAAAGAGGGAAACAGGCCGTCTATCGGTGCCGGTGAAGAGCACGCTTGAATTTAAACAAAAGTGCGACGAAGTAATCGCAATTCCTAAAATAAGCGAATACGAGCAAATTATTAAAATGATTTAACAAATTAATAAAATAAACTTGACATGTCAAAATAAGCAACGATCCAGTATGCAATTTCTTCATCAGTACCCTAGTATACTATAGTACTTCTATATCCAAAACGGAAAATTCTTTTTATAAGTTTATACAGTAGGACTCTTTAAAATGCTTAATTGCGAAGTCAAAGAAAAGGGTTCCTCAAGAGTTCTTTTTTGAGAAGTCTTGATTAGTTCAATAGGTGGCGCATTCGAAGTCTTAAGAACTTCTTAAAAACTTCTTTCTGATGTTGTATTTGGCGTCCAAATTATAAAATAGAGCTTATGCAGACTTAATTAAGACGTCATATTGCTGTCTGGGTTGTGTCTTTGAATCTAGTTTATACGTGCGCGCTTTTACCCTCGCTTTCCCTAAGGAGTTAGCAACGAATACACACACCCCTGCTACTAAATAGCCACTCACGATGACAATGGACCGTGCGAGCGTTCGACGTTGTCGTTGCTAAACGGTTTCCGATTATTTACTTGCAAATCAGCTCTGATCGGATATTGACTATGGGACGAGTAAATAATGGCCCTTTATTGGTATTGTGTCGCCTCGACCGCTACCGTCTAGATTAGTTAAAATTATGGTGTTTCGTTCCGCGTCATCGCATACAACGTAAGAATTCAGCCAACGTGTTTGTTCACACGGTTGTGTTTTTTTAATTACAGTAGTTACCTATGATACAGCAACGATTTGTATACATATTTTATTTAAATTCTATAGAAAATATACCTCGGTTTTCTATTTTTGAGTAAGAATCACTCAATTACATTTTATTATATGGAATAGATGTACTTTGAAGTAGCGAGATTATATTTGTCGTTTTTACTTTTCTCGATTCACATAGATATTTTAAGAAATTTAAATTTTCCAGGCACTGAAGAACAGCTGCATCTTTTCCGAGTACCAAAGCTTTCAGTGTATACGATATAAAAGTTTTTGAAATTGAAACCAACGAACAAAACGGCAAAAACAAATCTGTATTCTCGGATTGCGATCGCTAGCATTGCTAACGCGATTATTGCAGTGATATACGTAAGTATTCCACTACAGTTATTTGAAGGAATGGTTGGTATGAGAGTTATGTTTTTATCGCAAAAGAATAATTTTTAGATCATAAAATATTAAAATATCTGCAAATACCATTTTTCGTGATCAGTCTGAAAAAGTTAGGAGGTACAGCCCGGATTTAATTAAACAGTCTTATTCAACATACTAATAAAATATTAATAAAATTAGACTAAAATCTATTAAAGTCAAAAGTTTAAAGGTAAAAGGCCTGAGCACAATTCGGCGCGTAAGGAATTTTAAAAACTTAACAACAGGTATATTTAACAGATTTCGCCCCTAACTGTTCTGAAAAGCAGGATATGATTTAATAAACAAGCACCTTCGCTATACAGCGTGCTTATTCTTAAATTTGAGTAATTAATTAATTTTACGGGTGGTATCATCGGTACTTATTTTTTTTAATGAGGCTTGTGTTGGAGTGAATATCCAATTCAATGTTACCGGTAATGAGCAGTGTTTATTTTTTCAATAATTTGGACGACATTGATACAGACGATATGTGGTTTGATACTTCGTAAAAAACAACCGAGGATGCCATATATGTCTGAGATTGTGTTAAAAACATATTGTCACGAACCATTCTTTATAATAAATAAAGATTTTTATTTAAATTCGCTAAACATCCTAAATAAATGCAAAATTCCAATTTAAGTTACGTAGTATTTTCCATAGATTCCTTAAAAAATGTAAATCTAAATTAGAGCAAATGCTATCAACTAAAGAAACACAAATATGACAGTTTTAAACCTTAAAGAAGCCATCTCTCTAAAAATGAAATAGTCAAAATTCTACTATTTGAATTAGTAAAAGCATTTTTTACTAATAAAATAGTCGTTTTCACTTTTAAATAGTTATTTTTTACTATGTAAATAGTTAAAGTTTGACTAATTTAAGATTAGTCACCATATTTGACTATTTCTGACAGTTAAAAGTAACTAATTTCTTTAGTCGTTTACGGCCAACAACAAAGTATTATTTGAATTAAATGCATATACTGACCTCTCCATGGTTAAATGACCCATAAAACAAATAAAGATGCAAAAAGTTTAGCTCAAAATAGCAAGACAAATTATATATTAAACTTTAAAATATTATGAACCATATTTATTGACAAATAAAATTAATTTTCATAAGAGCGGCTGACAGCCGAATGCGTTAAGACGTTAGCTTGATAAACTTGTCAAGTGACAGACCTGAGTTCAATCCCAGGCTGGGTCAAAACTTTTTTTAAATTTAAATTTACTAATTTGACTATTTCATTCAGTGGAATTTGACTAATTATTAGTGACTGCTTTTTCACTATGACAATTAGTCAAATATGACTTATAATTAGTTATTTTTGACTAATTCATTTTAAGAGAGATTATAACAACAAATGAACAATTTATATAGTTACTTATTTACTTTTTATGCTGTTTTTAGTTTTTAATGATACTTTAATTTGTAATAAAGAATTAATTTGTTAATTAAAATACAACCCTTTTTACTATATTGGCATCGCTCAATTTGCTGTCACTCCTATTTACTAATCAAACTCTTCAAAACTACTACTAGGTGCCTTAAAGATATTATTTTGTCGTTTTGTAAAAAAAATTGCATTGAAGTCTCTACTTAACAAATATAAGGATAACAGAAAATCAAAAATCGACTAGAAATCTTAGAACCATAGACCTAGAGGTAAAATTGTTTTACTAAAATATGATACAGATAGGTACTTCTTTTCTATAAAAAATAGTAAGTTAATAATTATAGAAACCATATATTTTTTTAGTATTTATGGTGACTTAAAATCTTGTGTTGGAGCGTAGCGGCAATTGTTTAAGTCGAGGCAGGCAAAATAGGGATAAATTAGCGGCAGTGCTAGGCAACATAAGCAACAATCCGGTAATTCGAGTTACACCCCCTCAAGTGTTGGAGCCAACCGCGGAGTGGCAAGTCAAGGTTAGCATTTCTTGGGCGATAGTAACGTTCACAGCCGCTAGGTGAGCCTCTGGTTGGGACCGATGCGGCACAAGAGACGCTATTCGCGCACTGGGGGCGGGGCGAGGGAGTGGCGCCCCCGAAGCGCCCTCCCATCGGGCCAACAAACTCTGCTCCCTCACGTGCGAACCCGCGTTCGGCCAGGTTCGCGTTAGTTCGGCGTAAATTCTCATAGAACGGTAAGAATACTTGCCGAGTTTAGTTCGAGAGTAAAGAGAGTCAAGTGTTGTGTGTGGTGTGCAACCTGATTTTTATCGATTTAACGTCGTCATTGGATAACATAAACTTGGTGAGTCGAAGAAGTAGTATTTAATACCGTAGACAGATCTGTCGGACTGTCGGTGTTGTTGTGCGTTTGCGTGTGTATGTGGACCTAATGAACCCAATAGCAAGACAAGAAGCATATTGTGCGCGACGATGAGTTCCAGGGCGGGCAACGTTCTCATTACATTCGTCGGCGGTAATGTGTGTCAATTGTGTTGGTAGTAAACAGAAGTGTGAGTGAGAGTGCGCGCAATAAACCGGTGCAGTGCACTGGAATGTGTGTGTCGGGTCAAGTGCAATGAGCAGTGGAGGGCCTCTGCCTCCCGTGCCCGATCTAATTCCAATATCGGCCCTGCGGAGGGCCTCGACCTCGTCCGCGTCCTCTTCGACGAAGAGAAGGCCAAAGCGGTGCCGGAGCAGCGGTGCCAGCAGCAGCAGCTGCAGCAGCAGAAGCTGCACAGCGAAGGAGGTTATGGGAGAGCAGCGCTCCAGGCGGACGGCCAACAAACCCGCCGACTTGATCGATAGCGCAGGGTCACGTGGCTCGAGCGCCGCCCCACAGCCACCGCAGTCCCGGAAAATAAGGTCCGAGCGTCACCGTAAATCAGACAGACGACGCGAGCATCGCAAACCCGCCAGGACGCAATCCGGTAGTAGTAAACACAACAACATCAACAATAACAACAGCCATAGCAGCAGCAGCCGCCGGTCCGCTTACAGTTCGACATCCGATAAAGTCTCGTCACCGGAGAGGCCCGCGAATCCGCGTGTCAATCCGATTTTTGTTTTCATCCGGCAAGTGGACACCCGAATCGTGGACGTGAAATGCGAAGATTACGACAAAAGAAACCGCATAGTCCTCACGAAGACGGCCCAGGGTTGGCGCGCGATTCCCCGCACAGAGACGCTCGTGCCCACCCTAAAGGACCCGGCTGACGGTAACAACAAACCGCAGACGCACCACAATCATCACCATCATCATCACCACAAAAGCAAAAAGTCCAAGAGGACGAAATGCCGTAAGAGGTCAACGGCTGTTCAGGTGTCGGAAGTCGACGTGCAAACTTCCGAGCCGGAAGAGGAAGTCAAGGACAGGGAGTCGATTGTCAAGGAGGATCCCAATTGGATGGCCCCCGTTAATATCGAGTCTCTCTTGCCGTCCCACAAGATCCTAGTTAAGAAGCCTGTCCTGGATTTGTCTCCAGATCTGGAAATATCTAATATAAACAGTGCCGTTTCGGATAATACGCAGACTCAGTCTAAGTGCAGTGCCGACCAAATAAATGACGTAAGTCCACTTGACAATTTATTAGCCGTAGCCGAGTTAGAATTTAATCAGCAAATCCAATCGGATGAGTGGAACAGAAACGTCCAAAACGATATCCTGGATAATCAGCAGGACGATAACGAAGATTACGCCCTAAAAACATTCGAGGAATCGATGGACGACACTTCAAAGCAATACATGGAACAACTGAACAATCTAATCGAAGCATGCACCAGCAAAGTGGAAAAATCAGAGGAAAATGACTTTTTAGGTAACGTCGTCAAAAAATCAGAGGAATGTGATTATAACGACGATGAAGAGAATAACATGGCGATGGACGATATTCTTACAAGGCTGGAGCAATCGTTAAGAAGTCCAGAATGCACAGAAATAAGCAAAATGGCCAGTCTAGCGGATGCTGCTGCGAATGCCAAACCAGTGCCGACGGGCCAAATGCATTGCATAGAAAGCGACATCAACGAAAATAACTACAAATCCGTACCTGAACTCGAATCATTCTTCGAAGATGAATTAAAACCGGAGATATTGGAGTTAAAAGAAAACAATGGTGATAACGAAAAACAGGAATCCGAAACCGAAGAACAGTCGATGCCCGAAGAAGAACTTCCCACAGACCTGACGGTCAAAACTGTAACGAAGCCCCAAATATCAGTACGTTTTGACGAACCTACGGACTTGTCCGTGCCGAAAAAATTAATGTCGCCCCCACCCCTGCTGACGATCCCGAGATCGCCCTCTCAAAATTCCGAAACCATTCAATCTCCACAGCCGAGCGGAATTCCAGCCGTGCCGCAATCGCCGGATCTTGTCAGCCAGAGCTGCAGCGCGTCCAACAAAAAAGCGATGTTCCTGGAATCTTTGTTGACCACGAATTCCATAAACATTCCGCTAAACTCCGAGGTAACAATCATCAGACAAAAAGAGCCCCTGGATTTGGGCAAAAGCAGAAAATCTGCCAGCCCGACAGTGACTTGTTCCGAAGAGGCCAACAACACAACCATCGAGGCGGAATGCATGGAACCACCGGCCAAAAAGTTTAAGCCCGAAGATATAACACTAAAAAATCTTTTGGACGCTGAATCGGCGTCGGCGGAAATTGCGAACAATCGAGATGGTAAACATCCTGTTATTCCCGATACGCCTAGGCTTTTGGAGCTTCTTCAAAACGATTCGGAACCTGATCCAATAACACAACTTAAACTAGTTCTTAGTGATTCAACGATCCACGTGCCAAACCCGATATTGATTCCGAAGGAAAGATTGGATGCGATAATATTGCATCCCGGAAAAGAAATACCAAAATTAATAAAGCAAAGACCGGAACTGAGGCTACCAGACGTTCTGACTCATGAGCATTTAAGTCATAACCCGGATATTCTAGTTATACAATTAGATCAACTGGAGGCGATAGTAGCAAAGCAGTATTATTCCGAAAAAATACGCAGTAGAAAAAAATCCGTAGAAAAACATAGTGTGGTTGAAAAGGAAAAAGTTCAAAAAACTGTAGAAGCAAGTAGACCCTCTCCACCTTTAAAAAAAACGAAACCCCATGAAAATGCCTCAAAGTCATCCGAGTCGGAAAGTAAAGCATCCAGCCTTAATCTAAACGAACTAGCCAACGATATCGATGCTGCCACAACGGCCGCGTTCAATCAAATCATGTGGTTGCCGTATTTAAATCAGTTGGAGGCGATGTCCTACGGAAATTCGCAGCAGGACTTCATGAAAATGTTCAATGGTTCGATGCCGTTTTATCCGGGTCAGATGCACGAAATGCCCAACATGCAGAACATGGTCAACATGGCAAACATGTCCAACATGGCCAACATGAATATGGCGAACATGGCGAACATGTTTATGAACAACAACAACAGATTTCCTTCTCCGTTGAACTTTCCCATGCAACCACCTGTTAACTTCAACAACCCTTTGGAAATGTCGATGTGGCAGGAGGCGATGATGCAGGCGAACATGCTCAGGCCCAAGATGCCCTTCGAGGGTCTCAACCAAAAGCCCAATCTCAGAGAATACATGGAGAAAATGAATCACGGCACCAAAAAGCATTCGCAGTCCAACAGATTCCATCCGAGCGCTTCGAGCAAGCCTAGCGGATTCTTTCCAGGGAACTCGAACGGTCATCCGGGATTTCAAAATCAGTTTATGAGCCTGCCGAGCCAAACATCGCGGCACAACCTGCAGGTGCCTCACTTCAACCAAATGGTGGCGCAGCAACAAAAAGCACTAGTCAGCCAGCAGCAAAAGCACGATTACAAGAAATCAAGCACAAACTTCAACACCTACTACTCGCATCTGGCGCAAGAAAAGCAAAAATACCAACAGCAGCAGCAGCAGCAGCAGCAGCAGGGCGGTCAAAACAACCAAAGGGGGAAGGTGTCGTGCAAGCCGTTCGCCAACACCGGCAGCAAGCCGGAAGCTTCCCGGCAAGCCGGCCAGCCGATCGACCTGTCCGGTTCGACGGTTACCGGCAGCAGCAAGCTCAAGGTCAAGCAGCATCTGGTCGACACGGCTAACGCGCCGCGACTCCTCAAGCACCACGACGACGTCCCGGAGGTGGGCAGCACGACGGCCAGCGTCGAGGACATGCAGGAGGCGCACAAACACCTCTGGCATCCCCTTTTCGGAAAGTAAGCACATTTCTCTTTATCAATGTCCATAAAAAAAATCGAATATTTTTTTTACTTTCTACACTGAAAAATTGGTTCTTAGGCAGACAGTGCCCACCAAATTTGAGCTCTTAATATTAATAGGAATATCCTCCTCATCACAGTTTTCCATTTTTTCCATAGTCCCTGATAAAAAAGACCATATTTCATTATTAATCAATCCCTAAATCAAATATTTATACATATTTTTGTAAATGTGAAATTAAATGCCCTACAAAAAAGGACCCATGTGTTTAAGCGATTACTCTAACCATTTAAAAGATATTCAAGATCAAAGTTTAAAGAATTTATTTTAACAACTTTTTTTTTATTACTTTGTAACTCATTGAAACATAATTATTGTCAAATGAGTATGACATATTTTTAAAGGAAATTTAACGATCTAAAAAAAAAGGTCTGATGTAGTGATGCCGCCGATACGAGAGATTCTCGCCTCTCGTCTCGTCTCGTCTCGACGAGACGAGAGAATGCCCTCTCTCGCTCGAGAATTTCTCGTTTCTTTCGATCTCTCTCGTTCTCTCGATTATAAAAAACAATTTTTTTTTTACATAAAAATTATAATTTTGCACATAAATGACGATATTTATTTGGACCAATGAGAACATTATTCGCATTTCATAAAAAACAAAATTTGTTCCTGGTTAACGTTGTATTATTTTATAACACAACTTAACCTTAACCAAGAAAAAATAACTTATAAAATAATAATAATTTTTAAAATTTACCCTGTATAAGCACATCTATGGCACTCCTTATACTATTAAAAAAAAACCCGAATGCTTAATAAGCATTGCTTATTCAATAAACTTATCAACAACATGTGGTTTTTGAGGGCCTGATTACAAATTTGATATCCATTTTTTTAAAATAAAATGGCTGATACAATATAACGAAAATTTGTCGGTTTGGGTAAAATTTAGTATTCAGATATTTATGGGGTCCCTGATTCAGAATTTGATATCCATTAAAAAAAAACAAAATTGCAGATTCAAAATGACGGACATGCGCAGTAGGTACAAGATGGTTGGATCTATGTGAAGTAGTTACATCATATATGCGCAATAGTTTTCAGATGGATTGATCAAATGATTTGATCCATTGAAAACTACTGCGCCGATACAGGCTGTTTCTTTTAACTTGAGACAGCTCAATATCTCGAGAAATACGCATTTCACGGAAAAATGTTTTAAATAAAAGGTTAATGTGACCAAAGGGGACATTATTTGGTGCTACCGCTAGCCACCCCCTACCCCTCCTTAAGGGTGAAACGTGGGGTAACTTTGGAGAGTCAAATGGGATAACCCTTTTTTTACAGATTTTGGTAGTACATAAAAACATGAATAACTTTTATTTAAAACTTTTTTCAATTTATAAACAGATGGCGCTGTAATTCAAAATTTAAGAAAAATGGGTTTCCCTGTAAAATGTATTATTTAAAACGTTTGAAAAACAAAAATTAACATTAAATCAACAATAGTCGGCTCTGAAAACAATTTATAACAAATGTTCGAAATGTCGTCCTTCCATTTCGACACCAAGTGGAGCACCAGCGTCCCTGGTCGGTAAACGTTTGGTGCGGTACCTTTGGCGAACGGCATTAAATGGTTAAAATTACCGGAACTTTCTAGAAAACGATCTGCCAGACTTCTTCCTGTGGGGTTACTTGAAAGAAAAAGTTTACGCTGCAATTCCTACAACTCGGGAGGACATGGTGGAGCCAGAATTCATTACCCGCATTCAAAAAGGTGTCGAAATGAAAGGATGACATTTTGAACATTTGTTATAAATTGTTTTCAGAGCCAACTATTGTTGATTTAATGTTAATTTTTGTTTTTCAAACGTTTCAAATAATACATTTTACAAGGAAACCCAATTTTCTTAAATTTTGAATTACAGCGCCATCTGTTGATAAATTGAAAAAAAGTTTCAAATAAAAGTTATTCATTTTTTTATGTACTACCAAAATCTGTGAAAAAATCGGGTCATTCCATTTGACTTTCTAAAGTTACCCCCCGTTTCACCCTTAAGGAGGGGGCTAGCGGTAGCACCAAATAATGTCCCCTTTGGTCACATTAACCTTTAATATAAGACATTTTTCTGTGAAATGCGTATTTCACGAGATATTGAGCTGTCTCAAGTTAAAAAAAACACCTATTATAGGTGTATAATACTAGATGTAACTACTCTACATAGATCCAACCATTTGATTCAAATGCGCAACATTTTCGGCGTAAAAAGTCTTACTTTATTAGTGTGGTCTTGGCCCACTTTTTTTTTATTTCCAGTTTAAATTTCTATATAGAAGAATATAAACGATTTCGTATTTCATTCCAAATAATTTTTGTATTCATACTTATAAGTACCTATAGGTACTTTTACCACGAGAAATAATCGCTTAAACACATCAGTCCTTCTTTGTAGAGCATTCAATTTCATACAAAAATATGTATAAAGATTTGATTAAACGATTAATTATTAATGAAATATGGTCTTTTTTATAAGGGACTAAAGAAAACTGTAATAAGGAGGATCTTCCTATTAATATTAAGAGCAATTTTTAGAGGTGCCTAAGAAACAATTTTTCAGTGTCGAAAGTAAAAAAAAAATATATTTTTTTTCAAATCACCCTAATATCCGGTAACGCACATCTGACAAATCACTATATTTAATAATGCATCTATTGATTACTTAATTACACTCGCTGTTTCCCTAATGCATATAAAAACGACACAATCTATAATTACATTAATAACTTAATTAATTATTAATTAATATCATTAACTTTTATGCTTCCTTAGTTATTTAACTTTGCACATTCTTTCTTCTTTTTGCATATTTTAAATAAATTAACTATCAGCTTGGGTAGGATGTCATGGAAAGACAATAAAGGTAAAAGGAATTCGTTTAGAAAATAAATAAGGAATTTAATTAATAAAACATTAAATATATTTTATTATTCAAAATTACCTTGGGACAAAAATTTTAATTAGTTAACAATAAAATTTTAATATTTTTTTAAATCTTATTTTCACTCCAAGCTTCGTAACCAGAATTCAGCTTTCAATAAGCAGCTGTCAAACGAGTGTTTTTGATAAATACACATTTTAGTCATGATTTACGTGGAAATTGTAAACATTCAAATCAGTAAAAATCATAAAACAAAGTCGTCTAAATTCCAACAGCATTATGCCTTATTAAAAGCGTTGATTAAGAAAGGCTCCTTTCAACGGTAAAATACCAGAAACGGGTATTATATTATAAAATACAGTTGTTGGGGTTTGGGGACTGTTCGATTTTAAGATTATGTTTGTACAACAATTATTTTTTGTTAGATTTCTTTAAAATGTCCAAACTTAAATATAAATTAAATTGGGTAAAGTTATCATTACTTAATTCTGCACCAACAAGTATACGTACCGAATTGGATCCTTTGGCAAAATATGAAAATGCATAATTCACCGTGATCACTTATATAACATACATACACTAACGTAACTATATACATATAAGCATATAAGCTTTGAGTTTCTTAGTCAATGATATAAGGAGTAGCGATCGTGAGATATTTAGATGTGCAATTGAACAAAATTTGTCGAGTAAGACTCCTGCCTTCCTCTCTTTTGTGAAAAAACTACCTATTTATTTAAAAATGATGTGCAGTTTGTATGCCTAAATGTATTTTGACAATTCTTAAATTCACACAATGCACTACCCGATGCTTCTTTATCGTATAATCTTGTTTAAACCATTAGGTTTAATTATCTTGTCCCTGTGAAATTTTATTGTTTGGATATACCTTGTTCTTGCACTGGACCTCTCAATTATATCTAGTGTACATTTTGTAGACAGTTATATCTAGCTTCTGTAGACATTCTTAATACAGTTAAGTATATCTTGCTTGTTCTCATTTTAACTGTCAGTTAATGTAAAAAAGATTGAATTTGTAACAACTAAAACTAACTTTATCGTTTAGTCGTCTCACTTCAAGAGTAAATTAGTATCAGTAAAAGCTCGGCTCGTTAATTAAAATTAAATAGTGAGAAATTGTATATTAACCCAGTTCTACATTGTAAATGCATTAAACGTTCGTGAAGGAATTTTTGCATGATTATTAGATTTTATCGGGTTTATGTGTTAAATTAATTTACAGGGAGAATTTGCATAATTTATTTCGATAATTCCGATAAACAGCAAGTTCGTGTCGAGTCGTATTTGTTAAATCATACAATGCAAACGATTGTTTTATCTTTGATCATCATTCAACTGATTTAATAGAACATGTTTTTTCCGTATTCTTTCCAGCCAGAAAGGATATAATAGTCCCTGGAATTGGACGACGGTGACGGCGACTGGCGAATAACATCGGTTCCCGCCTCCAACCAACAACAATTGGAGGCCCAACAGCTCTTACCAAGGGTTTAACAATACGACACCTGAAGCCTCTTCTTATACAACAGGGTTTGACTTTGATTTCTTCAAGTAGGTTAGTAGCATGATCATTGGGAATGAGTCCTGACTCATCTTTGTCAGTATCCAAAACCAAAGTAGGTTAGAAAAATACCATTTATTTTGTATACTACTAAAGAAAGTGAGGGACCAATTTGAGTAAAACTGCTTTAATGGAATACATAATCTATGCAAAATGATTAATGGCTATAGCACAAGGACTTTTTGATAACATTGCGTCCAATTAAGCATTGTTTTACAACGCATAAATATTTATGATTGTTTTTGTAGTTGACCTTTAAGGAAATCGGGCAAATGCATAATTTGAACGACTTAAATTAATCAAGCAATCGCACATTAGCTAATGAAACCGTTTAACGTTCCATAATTCATCTGATGAAGGTTTGCAGCTGAAATGCGGAGAGGTCGACGACGCTTGAGGGTTTCGCTTTCGTTTTCCGTCGTTCGTTTTTCCCCGTCGCGTTTATTTGGGTTAATTTCAAGGCCGAAAAGTTGAGC